TCTTCTCAGGGAAAGGCTGGAGGGAAGGGGAAGGGAAGAAGGGCAGGAGTTGGTGGAGAACAGACTGGAGTGGGGGCAGTGGTGGAGAAGTAAGAGAAAAATGGTGACTTTCAAGAGAAGAGGAAAGAAATAAACTTTCTACTAGGGTACCCTGAGATAAACAGTGGTTGTTTCCCCATCTAAATCTCCATAAATATACCTGTACATAGGAAAGAAAAAAAAAGCCAGGGGCATAAGAGCGCCATCTACTGGAGAAAGAGAAGAACTACAACACTATAGCCGCAGTATATTTAATGAAAGCTAATCTAATAAACACAAAGTCTAACACAGAGAACAGTAGTAACAACATCTGGTGAATGGCCTGACCTTGACTGTTGTTAGAAGACGACTAGGAAAATTCGGTAACATTCAATAGTGTTTTTTTTCCCTCCTTTCCTTTTGAAGAGGAACTAATTTGCTAATAACTAAATCTTACTAAAATTGACTATTGGATGATGGATTGGAAAGACTGGAAGAATTTAGTGGACTAACCTGGACAAATTTGGACTTGGACTATTAATGTTATTTAATAGAATATTCTAAGAGGCATAAGAAGAAAAGGTCAGAAGAAAAGAGAAAGGAAGGAAATAAGACTTTAAAATTTGGACAATTGGGGAACTATAAGGCTGTAAACTATTATGAAATAAAATGTGGGGTTTTGGAGATATAACTATGGGATTGATGTAACTTGATTAAACAGAAGTTTCTTAAATATTGAAATATTGGAATAATAGAAATATACTTTTAATGAGCTGTATTAAATCACTATAAAATGGATCTAGAGATGTATGAAGAAATATTGTGCATGTTAAAAAGTCTGTGTGAATCCTTAAGAAATGACAAAGAGACAAAGGAATAGTTTAAAGATACAGAAATGAATGTAGAAGCTACTCAACAACTGGGGAAAAAAGAGGAACATGGTATTCAAGAAGTAGAGGAGAAACTAGAAAAAGCAGGGGAAGGGGAGAATAAAAATGAGAAGCAAGAAGTTAGGAACAAAGAGGAGAAGAAACAAAGTAGAAGACAAATATATAACATCACAATTTATAAGGGTACAGAGAGACGAGAGAAAAAACCCTTTAAAAAACAAAAACAAAAGGAAGTTTTGTGGATGGGTATTCAAAAAACACAGTAGAAAGAGGCAAAAGGCACCCAGAAGGGAAAGTTTAGTAGACACAAAAGAATTAAAAAGAGATACAAGATTCCAAGAGAGAAAGATAAAAGACTGACCAAAAAAATCCATAAACGATGGAATTTTAGAAAGACTAAGAGATGGTGGATAATGAGAAAATATATTAATAAAATGGTTAGTAGATGGTAATTTAAGACTAGACAATTTTTACTGAAGTACTAATATTAACAGGGTGTTAAAAGATATTGTGAATTTAAAATATTAAGGATTAGAAATGGTGGGGATTTTGAGATATACTCCCGTGATGGATTGAATATTTTTAATAATAGGTGTTATTTGTAATCCTATACATTTGGAATATTGATGTTATGGTGGAATAATGAGTGATTTTTAAACAACCTTTACTAAGGGATAATAAACACAGGGTGTGAAGAAATGGTATTTATGCTTAAACGAATTAAAGGGAAAATGTAAAAGGAATATGAAACGAGATTAGTATTGTTTGAAGTTGGAAGATTAGAATTAGAATACTGTTTGTATTATTATTGTTAACGTTGTATAAAAAAGACCTGAACCAATCAATTTACTATCCACAAAACATGTATGTTTATATTGGGGAAAAAAACTTAATAGAAAAAAAAGGGGGGGGGGGAAGCCAGGGTCTAGCAAGGAAAGGAAAACGGCTTCCTCAGAAAAATGGCGTGCTCTGTCACATTCTCTCTCTCCTGGCCATACAGGTACAGAAGAAAGTGTGGCATCCAGAAGGATCCAGAGCTCCAGTCCCTGCCAGGAATAAGAGAAAAACAGGCATGTTAAGTGGCAGCAGATGAGCAACTGGAGAGCAAGCCACCAAAGATTTTTCTTGTTTGGCCATTTCCATCCCACAATATCAGCAAGGGCTGATCAGCAAGGTCAACAAAGGATTAGCCAGGCTTGGAAGATTTTTCTTGCTTGCCCCCTTGCGTTTGATGGAGGAGCTGAAGAAGCTCCTTGGATGAGAAGCGAAATGTCTTCAAAGAAAAACTGGAACCTCCAGTTGCCTCTTGAAAAAATAAAAAGCACCTTTGGGACAACCATGACCTGGATGACTGAGAATCTCCATAGGCATTCAGCTAGCAAAGAAAGGAAAGAAGCTTTGCCAGGGTCTCAAGCAAAAGACATTCACTTCTGCCACACAGTCCAGCAATGCAGGGACCTCTCCTTTGGTACACGACCTCCTGAGCTCTGGAGTTCACCGAAAGGCAAGTGATGGGAGCAATCGGTGGGGGCAGAGGGTGGGCTTGGAGATGGTCCAAAGGGCGGGAAGGGAAACATGGGGTATCTCAGTGACTGGGGGGAGGCTGGAGCATTACTAGGATCTCCCCCACACCTGAAGCCCCCATATTCCACTTCAACCTCTTCCCTTCTTCCCTCTCTCGGTTGCAAAGCTGAGGGGAAGAGAAGAAGGGTAGGAATTGGTAGAGAACAGACTGGAGCACTGCTAGAAGCTAGGAATTTTGGACACACTGGTATAAATGTTTGTTTTTCTATCTAAATCCCTGTGAATGTACATAGTAAAGAAAAACACCCAGGTGGTCTGGGTCTCTGTCTCTCTCCCCTTCCCAGAAGCAGTTGCTGTGCTTGAAGCCATAGGCCACCTGACCTGTCCCCAAACTTTCAGACTTGGAGTTGGGGGAGCAGAGGGGATGGTTCTGTGTGAGCTGCAATCACATTCTCCTGTCCCTTGTGTGCCCTGGTTCCAAACAGGCTGAGGTCTACTAGTGGACCATGGCCCAGGGTTCGGGTACCCCTGATATGGGCCACTTCCATTGAAGCCGATCTTCTTTAGGAACATGTGCTTGGTGGCTTCAATCCATGAAAATAACTTCTTTTCAGACAGATCCACCCTGGCTCTTTTTACCAAGAAGAATCAGAATAAATGCTAAAGATAGCTGAAATGTTTCTTTTTGCAATTGAGGATTCTGTGCCTCGGGAGGGCAGTATTCTCTTCACAGAACCAGTGCTCTTTTTTCTTTCTTTTGCAAATTCCAATTTAAGGCCACTGTTCTGCATCCAGTTGCAAAGGCTTCCCTAGTATTGGAAGTGGGGAATGGCTGCTTCGTGCTCAGCCTTGGCAACTTTGGCCTTGCAACATGTCCATCCAAGATGCATTGACATACTTCTTCGTTAGTGCCAAGGGCAAAAGCTTCTGCAATAGCAGTGGGTATTAGTTGTTTTAGGGAAAACTATATTTCTTACAGTTTCCTGTTATAAAATCTGATAATAGTAACAGAAATATATATATATAGGTAGTCCTGTAGTTATGACAATTCACTTGGTGACAGTTCAAAGTTATGACATTCCTGTCAAAAGTACTTCAACCAGGTCCCAAAGTTATGTACGTGGCAGCATCACAGTCGCTGTTTTGGCCTTATGACCGACTGCAGAGAAGCTGCAACATGCTACCTGCCTATTCCCACCCCCCATTCTTCCATTGCCGGGTCTCTGCAGGCACCAGGCCTGCTTTGGTAGCCCACCACGTTCCACATGCTCCTCCCCACCCATCACCATCGCTTACTTGGGAAGATCTCCAGAGCTAAAGATGTTGATGCAAAGCTCTTTTCCTTAGATCTTGCATTCTTCTACACACTTCCGTCCTTTTAGGAAAAGCTTTTTTGCACAGAGGACGAAAGAGTGTCCCCTCCTTCGGGGCAGCTATTATGGCCCACAGGAACCTCCCAGCCCACCAAATCTGTGCCAGAGTGTGTCCGAAAAATGAGGGGTGCAGTGCGACCAGTGCACCGAGCTGTTTCTCTATCCAGATCTGCAGTGGCGCAGGGGTGAAATCTATATATATGCAAGCAGACCTTCTGCGCATGCACAAAACCTGCGCATGTACATTCTTTAAAACTCACTATTGGAATCTCGCCAGATCCGCCATGAATGGTATGCATGGGCTTTTAATGTTTTTAAAATGTTTTTATAATGTTTTTTTAATAATATTCCTATGTTCTTTGTTGCATTATTTTTGCTGTAAGCCGCCCAGAGTCCCTTGGGAGTTGGGCGGCATAGAAATTCGATAAATTAAATTAAATTAAATTAATGACATCCAAGTGGGTGGCCGGAGCTTCACTCCGTCATCACTACAGGATCACTTAACCCCGCCTCCCCCACTTACCCAATCCGGTCCAAACCGAAAGCATTTCACTCCTGATCTTGCGTTTTCCAAAGAGAACGGAAGCTTTGTAACATCTAAGGTAAATAATTTCCTGATTTACATTGAGTTCTGGAAATCTTTTAAGAGTAAATGATCAAAGTAATGGGGTGATGGGGTGGGGAGGAGAAGGCCCAAGCAGGTGTAGGGACCCCAAGGGGTCAGAAGAGAAGCGTGGGGAGAGGCCTTTGGTGGCTGGAGGTAGTGGTCTTGTCCCTGTACTACGCCTCTCCACTCCTAAGTTACCCCATGTACTCTTAACGACCCATGCATTTGATTAACAAATGGATTCGGGAGAGGAGGGATGACTTAGGGTTAATGTGATTCAGTTAATGTTACGACTACAATGGACAAGCTCTGTTACATTCATAACTCAATGAGAATTCTACCCTTTTGATATAAAGTGGATGACAGAATGTTGATTTTTTTTTTTTGCTCCTCTACCAAAAGGTTGCCCAATTTATTGATGGCATTTAAAAAATTTTTTGCATGACAAATTATTTTCTGCTGTATGCTTTTTAAGAGGCTGTGTCCTACGTATAAAAAGAGATTCTTTGAAATTAGTAACAATTTGCCAGCTTCTGTAAGCATCTTGGCCTTCCTTCTTGTGACAGTCCCATTTCCAATTCCAGATTATACAACTCCAGGATTGCTGAATATGGATGTAGCGAATCAACTGTTGGGTCCTCCTCTCAATGGATCTGCATCTGAACAGGAAAAAGAACCAGGTATTAATAACAATATCAAGATCTGGAAGCCACTCACCCAAACGAGGGATTGAAACATCCAAGCCATGACCACCAGAGTATACGGAGCAATCCAAAACATATACCCTGTCCCTAATTGGACTTTCAGGATAAGCATCAGAATAGAGCTGGAAGGGACCTTAGAGGTCTTCTAGTCCAATCCCCAGGCCTATGTCATTACACATAGGTGGCTGGCCAGTCTTTCCTTAAAAAGTGATGAAACACCCACAACTTCTGAAGGCAAAGCTGTTCCACTGGTTAATTGTCTTCACTATTAGGAAGTTTCTCCTTAATTCCAGGTTGCTTCTCTCTTTGTTCAGTTTCCATCCGTTGTTTCTTGTCTTGTCTTCTGGTGCTTTGGAAAATAACATGACTTCCTCTTTTTTGTGGCAGCCCCTCAAATACTGGAATACTGCTATCATGTCACCCCTAGTCCTTCTTTTCGCTAGACTGGCCATACCCAATTCCTGCAACTATTCTTCTGCATAGGTTTTGTCTCCAGGCCCTTAATCATCTTAGTTGCTCTTCTTTGCACTTTTTCCAAGGTCTCAACATTTTTTTTCTAATGTGGTGACCAAAATTGGATGCAGTATTCCAGGTGTGAATCTTACTAAGGATTTAGAAAGTGGTACTAATACTTCATGTGATTTTGATTCTCTGCCTCTGTTTATACAGGTTAGTGTTATCTCCAAATTTGATGAGTTCCACTTCTATTCCCCCATCTAAATCATTTAGGAAGATATTGAAGAGTACTGGGCCTTAGATGGAACCTTGTGGTACCCCACTGCTTACTTCCCTCCATGTAGATGTAGTACCATTAAGGACTATGTTGAGTACTGTTATGTAAATAGGTTTTGGCGGGAAGTTTGAATAAACTAGCTGATTGACTGACCACCACAGCTGCAAGGTATATAAGGGGAGCTGTTTCCCCAGGTCAGTTGCTGGATTCACACCCTGATAAAAAGAGCTGTTGTCACTCACTGCCTGGCTTGCTGCGTCCACATTCACCCAACTTAACATTGGCGATGAAGGTGGGATTTTGAGGCCAGAAGCCATGGAAAGAGCTGAAGCCATGAGCCGAAAGAGAAGCTGAAACCCCGAATCCAGCCAGGCGAGCGAACGGAGTACCTGGAGAATCAACCAACGATGTCTGCCTACATACCACCAGTGCCTTTCAACCCAGCGGAAGAAAAGTGGGGATCCTACATTTATGTTTTTATTTTTATTTTATTTCGAATTTATATACAGCACCTTCTCCCGAGGGACTCAGGGCGGTGTACAGCCAGATAAAAACATACAATACAAACATTAAAAACAATTAAAAGGATATATATTAATTTGTCTCCAATTTAAGATAACAAACCAATTAAAAATATTTAAAAAATATGTTAAAAAATATGTTAAGCCAGCCCGGCTTGCTGAAAAAAGAAAGTTTTAAGGGCACGGTGGAAGGCACCGAGGTCTTGGATTCTCCTTATTTATTTATTTATTTATTTATCAAATTTCTATACCGCCCTACTCCCGAAGGACTCAGGGCGGTGAACAGCCAAGATAAAATACAGATAATACAAATATTAAAAATCCCTTAAAATTATTAAATATTTTGGCCGAAACACAAATTAAAACACCCAATTTATAAAATCATGAATTAAAAAATTTAAAAGAGGAGAGTTAGGCCAGGCCAGCCTGCTGAAATAGAAAAGTTTTGAGAGCACAGCGAAACGTGCGCAGGTCCGGATCCTCCGTATCTCTGGGGGGAGCTCGTTCCAGATGGTAGGTGCCCCCACAGAGAAGGCTCTCCCCCTGGGGGCTGCCAGTCGACACTGTTTGGCCGACGGCACCCTGAGGAGCCCCTCTCTATGGGAGCGTACTGGTCGGTGAGAGGCTATTGGTAGCAGAAGGCGGTCTCGTAAATACCCCGATCCGATGCCATGGAGTGCTCTAAAGGTGGTAACCAAAACCTTGAAGCACACCCGGAAGACCAATGGGAGCCAGTGCAGCTCGCGCAGGAGGGGGGTCACATGGGAGCGCCACGTCGCTCCCATAACCACCCGCGCGGCCGCATTCTGGACCAGCTGGAGCCTCCGGGTGCTCCTCAAGAGGAGCCCCATGTAGAGAGCATTGCAGTAGTCTAAGCGGGAAGTAACGAGAGCATGAGTGACCGTATTTAACGAGTCCCAATCCAGAAAGGGACGCAACTGGTGAATCAGGCGGACCTGATAAAAAGTCCCCCTGGCCACGGCCATCATGTGCTCTTCTAAAGACAGCCGTGAGTCCAGGAGGACACCCAAGTTGCGAACCCTCTCCGTGGGGGCCAATGACTCGCCCCCAATAGTCAGTGATGGCATCAACTGACTATATCGGGATGTCGGAAACCACAGCCACTCGGTCTTGGATGGGTTGAGCCTGAGTCTGTTTCTCCCCATCCAGATTCACACGGCCTCCAGGCACTGGGACATCACTTCAAGGGCATCATTGGGGTGGTCCGGGGTGGAGATGTACAGCTCTCTGGGGGCAGCTGATTATCTCTGGGGGCAGCTGATTCCAGAGGGTAGGTGCCCCCACAGAGAAGGCCCTCCCCCTGGGGGTCACCAGCCTACATTGTTTGGCTGATGGCACCCCAAGGAGGCCCTCTCTGTGGGAGTGCACAGGTCTGTGCGAGGTCATCGGTAGCAGCAGGCGGTCTCGAAGATAACTAGGTCCTATGCCATGGAGCGCTTTAAAGGTGGTAACCAACACCTTGAAGCGCACTCGGAAGACCACTGAGAGCCAGTGCAGCTCACGCAGGAGCGGTGTTACGTGGGAGCGCCAGGCGGCTCCCATGATTACCCACGTGGCCGCATTCTGGACCAGTTGGAGCCTCCGGGTGCTCCTCAAGGGGAGCCCCATGTAGAGAGCGTTGCAGTAGTCCAGGCGCGAGGTGACGAGGGCATGGGTGACTGTGCACAGGGAATCCCGATCAAGAAAGGGCCGCAACTGGCGGATCAGGCGAACGTGACAGAAGGTCCCCCTGACTACAGCCATCAGATGTTCCTCCAAGGACAGCTGCGTATCCAGGAGGACTCCCAGATTGCGTGCCCTCTCCACGGGGGCCAAAGACTCGCCCCTGATAGTCAGTGATGGAGTCAACTGACTATATCGGGATGCCGGGAATCACAGCCACTCAGTCTTGGAAGGGTTGAGTTTGAGCCTGTTCCTCCCCATCCAGATCCGCACAGCCTCCAGGCACTGGGACATCACTTCAAGGGCATCGTTGGGGTGGCCTGGGGTGGAGATGTACAGCTGGGTGTCATCAGCGTACTGATGGTACTTCACCCCAAAGCCACGGATTATCTTACCCAGCGGCTTCACATAAATGTTGAACAGAAGGGGCGAGAGGACCGACCCCTGAGGCACTCCACAAATGAGAGGCCTTGAGGTCGACCTCTGCCTCCCTGCCAACACGAACTGCGACCGGTCTGAGAGAAAGGAGGAGAACCACCGTAATACAGTGCCCCCCATCCCCAACTCCTCCAACCGGTGCAACATGATACCATGGTCGATGGTATCAAAAGCCGCTGAGAGATCTAACAGGGCTAGGACAGAGGAGCAACCCTTGTCCCGCGCCCTTCAGAGATCATCTACCAATGCGACCAATGCTGTTTCCGTGCTGTGCCCCGGCCTGAAACCCAACTGGAATGGATCTAGATAAGACGTTTCCTCCAGGAATTGTGGAAACTGTCACACGACCACACTCTCAACAACCTTCGCCACAAAGCGAAGGTTGGAGACAGGAAGGTAGTTGGCTAATACTGCCGGGTCCAGGGAAGGCTTCTTGAGGAGAGGTCTCACCACCGCCTCTTTCAAGGCAGTGGGGAAGTAACCCTCACTCAACGAAGCATTGATAATTCCCTGGAGCCAGCCTCATGTAACCTCCCGGGAAGCCAGTACTAACCAGGAGGGACACGGGTCCAGTAAACATGTGGCCGCACTAAGTCTCCCCAGAATCCTGTCCATGTCATCAGGAGTCACAGAGTCAAACTCTTCCCATATAATGTTCTCAGGTCTGTTCCTTGTCACCCTGCCCGAATCTACCCAGTCAGAGTCCATATCCCCCTGGATCTGAGCAATTTTGTCATACAGATATCGTCCGAAATCCTCAGCCCTGTCCTCCAGGGGGTCCTCCCATGCTCCTGGGTGGAGGAGGGAGCGGGTCACCCTGAACAGGGTGGCTGGACGATTCTCTGATGATGCAATAAGAGCGGAAAAGTAATTAAACTTTGCCGCTTTTATCGCCACTAGGTAGGTCTTAATATGCGACCTTACCAGTGTTTGATCAGATTCAGCGAGACTGGCCCTCCAACCGCTCTCTAGGCATCTTTTCTGGCGTTTCATCTCCCTCACTCCTCGGTGAACCAAGGAGCCGCAAGGGATTGGCACCGGGTCAGAGGCCACAAAGGCACAACTCGATCCAAGGCCCCACCAGCCGCCCAATCCCAGGCGGCCACCAGGTCCTCGGCCGAGTCATGCGCCAGATCCTCAGGAAGTGGCCCAAGCTCCATCTGGAACCTATCAGGATCCATCAGGCTCCTGGGGCGGACCCATCTTATTGGCTCCGCCTCCCTGCAGTGGGGTATGGCGGTTCGAAGGTCCAGGCGAAGGAGCGAGTGATCTGACCATGACAAGGGTTCCATGTCTATATCCCCTATAACAAGACCACTCAACCACTGGCCAGAGACAAAAATCAAGTCCAGAGTGTGACCCCCCCTGTGGGTGGGGCCATGAACTAACTGGGTCAGGTCCAACAGACGGCAAGTTGAAATCACCTATGACCATAAGCCTGGGAGTATCAACTGCCACCATGGCTATCACGTTGAGTAGTTCGGGCAGGGCTGTTGCCACGTGGCAGGGAGCCAGGTACATAAGCAACAGGCCCATCTGAATCCCATGACCCCATCTCACAAAGAGGGATTCACATCCGGCAATCTGAGGCACAGTGGTTTCCCTCGGACCGAGACCTTCTTTAATAATGACCGCCACCCTCCTCCCCTCCCCTGGGCTCTCGGCTGGTGGAACATGTCCCACTTCGAATGCTTCCTGGTGGCCAGTGACCTACAAGGGCTACCGGATGTGCGGAAGAAAGCCCTGTTCCTGAACCACTGTGGGCCCAAGATGTTCGATATGGCCGAAGCCCTATCAGAACCGAATTCAGTCAACACCATCTCCTGGCAAACGCTTCAGACGCTGCTGAAGGACCACTATGCCCCAACGCCATCGAAATATGTCCAGCAGTACGAGTTCCGGCAAAGACTACAGCAGGAGGGAGAATCGATCAGCGAGTATGTCGCTGCCCTGCGCAAGGCCATGAACCAGTGCAAGTACAGAGACTTAGATGAGATGCTCCTAGAGCAACTAATCTGCGGAGTGAGGGATATTCACTTGCAGAGGAGGTTGCTCGCGAAGTCAAATCTAACCTTGCCTATTGCACTGGATGAGGCAAGGGCTCAAGAATCCTCCACCAAGGCCACCGAGAGACTACAAGGGACGACACAAGTCAGGACAACGCAGAGGTCGGCCACCGTGCACCAGGAAACCGTATGCACAGAGAGCGAGGGAAAGTCAGAAGAAGAGGTTTGCCGAACCGAACAGTACCGGCAGGACCAGCGAGGCCACCAAGACACCTGTGCGAGCTGTGGGGGACCCCATCCGCGACAGACCTGTAAGTTCCAAGATGCCATTTGCCAGCAATGCGAACGAAAGGGCCACATCGCCAGGGTCTGCAGGGCCAAGCAGAATCCTAGTTACAAGCCGCGAAACCATACCGGCCAATCAGAGACGGCGCCGTGGAAGAGGGCCAATAAGAATGGTGGACACCAGAAGGGTGCGAAATCTGAGGACCTCGAGGCCTGCACCATTCGAATCGGCCAGACCTGCACCTCCCCTGGAGAGAAGACCTACACAACGGTCATGATCGAGGGATGTGAATGCCTGATGGAGATTGACACCGGATCTTCCATAACTATAATGTCCTGGGATAGGCTAAGGAAGGCCATCCCCAGCGTCCGGAAGCAACAACTCCAGCCCCAACGGCGCAGACTGGGCGATTACCAGGGGAACCACATCCTCGTGGAAGGAATCGGCGAGTTCCAGGTGGAGTACGGGGAATTCCGGGAGAAGCTTCCCCTCACCATGGTCAGTGGCAAGCCCCCAAACCTCCTGGGCATGGACTGGTTCAGAGCCCTAGGCATGGGATTCACCAGAGTCTGCAACATGCAGAGCACCCTGAAAGACGACCTGATGCAGGAGTTCCAGGACGTGTTTGACGAGCAGCTCAGCAAGTATGTGGGGACCCCTATCTCGTTCAACCTCAACCCAATATTGCCCCTATCCGGTTGAAGCCTAGGAGGGTACCATTCGCCCTGAAACCAAAAATTGATGTCGAGCTGGACAAATTAATCAAGCAAGGGGTGCTAGTGCCAGTCGACCATGCCCGGTGGGAAACCCCAATAGTGACCCCCATTAAGCCTGACGGGTCTGTGCGCATCTGCGCGGACTATAAGTGTACGGTCAATAAGGCTCTCCAACAGAGCACTTACCCGGTTCCGATCGTACACCATTTGCTGCATTCCCTAGGGCCCGGCAGGCGTACCAGCAGTTGCCACTACCACCGACGCAGTCATAAGGGAGCTAAGGCAATTGTTCGCCACCCATGGCCTACCAGATGTCCTAGTTTCGGACAACGGCCCCCAGTTCATGGCCACACAGTTTGAGGGGTATCTGGCGGAGTTGGGGATCAGGCATGTACTCTCTACCTCCGCCAAATTTTAAATTTTAAATTTGTTTTAATTATAGGGTTATGGGTAAGGTGTTTTAAATTGGGGAGCCATTTTGGATTTAATTTTGTTTTAAATGTATTTTAATGTTTATATTGTATGTTTTTTAATCTTGGCTGTTCACCGCCCCGAGTCCTTCGGGAGAGGGGCGGTATAAAAATTAAATAAATAAATAAATAAATAAATAAATAAATAAATAAATAAATAAATAAATTTCATCCGGCAAGTAATGGGCAGGCAGAGAAATTTGTGAGAACGGCTAAGGAAGCCCTCTCACACCTAGGCCCCAGGGACTGGCAGGAAAGAATAAACCGATGTAGCGAATCAGCTGTTGGGTCCTCCTCTCAATGGATCTGCCTCTGAACAGGAAAAAGAACCAGGTATTAATAACAATATCAAGATCTGGAAGCCACTCACAAGGGACATTCTCCTGTCCCTTTTGTGGCCTGGTTCCAAACAGGCTGAGGTCTACTAATGGACCATGGCCCAGGATTCAGGTACCCCTGATATGGGCCACTTCCATTGAAGCCGATCTTCTTTAGGAACATGTGCTTGGTGACTTCAATCCATGAAAATAACTTCTTTTCAGACAGATCCACCCTGGCTCTTTTTACCAAGAAGAATCAGAATAAATGCTAGAGATAACTGAAATGTTTCTTTTTGCAATTGAGGATTCTGTGCCTCAGGAGGGCAGTATTCTCTTCACAGAACCAGGGCTCTTTTTTCTTTCTTTTGCAAATTCCAATTTAAGGCCACTGTTCTGCATCCAGTTGCAAAGGCTTCCCTAGTATTGGAAGTGGGGAATGGCTGCTTCGTGCTCAGCCTTGGCAACTTTGGCCTTGCAACATGTCCATCCAAGATGCATTGACATACTTCTTCGTTAGTGCCAATGGCAAAAGCTTCTGCAATAGCAGTGGGTATTAGTTGTTTTAGGGAAAACTATATTTCTTACAGTTTCCTGTTATAAAATCTGATAATAGTAACAGAAATATATATATAGGTAGTCCTGTAGTTATGACAATTCACTTAGTGACAGTTCAAAGTGATGACATTCCTGTCAAAAGTACTTCAACCAGGTCCCAAAGTTATGTACGTGGCAGCATCACAGTCGCTGTTTTGGCCTTACGACCGACTGCAGAGAAGCTGCAACATGCTACCTGCCTATTCCCACCCCCCATTCTTCCATTGCCGGGTCTCTGCAGGCACCGGGCCTGCTTTGGTAGCCCACCACGTTCCACATGCTCCTCCCCACCCATCACCATCGCTCACTTAGGAAGATCTCCAGAGCTAAAGATGTTGATGCAAAGCTCTTTTCCTTAGATCTTGCATTCTTCTACACACTTCCGTCGTCTTAGGAAAAGTTTTTTTGCACAGAGGACGAAAGAGTGTGCAAGAAGGAGAGATCTATCATGTCCAAGCAGGCTTTGTTTCATCCCAGCCTGTGTGGTGTCACATACACCCTCTGCATATTTCTAACAGTTTCTAAGCAGCCGGAGCTGCAGTGCTGTTGCTGGGGATGCCTGAGTCCTTGCAGTGGGCCAGGTCATTGTGGAAGCCCCACAGCCCCCATGCTCGCCTCCTGTGCTGCTTGTGCACCCTTGCTTTCCTGTGACACTCTAGTGGAGATCTGGCTGCCTCCACCCTCAGGATGGTCCTCTCCTTCGGGGCAGCTATTGTAGCCCACAGGAACCTCCCAGCCCGCAAAATCTGTGCTAGAGTGTGTCCGAAAAATGAGGGGTGCAGTGCGACCCGTGCACCGAGCTGTTTCTCTATCCAGATCTGCAGTGGCGCAGGGGTGAAATCTATATATATGCAAGCAGACCTTCTGTGCATGTACAAAACCTGCGCATGTACATTCTTTAAAACTCACTATTGGAATCTCGCCAGATCCGCCATGAATGGTATGCATGGGCTTTTAATGTTTTAAAAATGTTTTTATAATGTTTTTAAATAATTTTCCTATGTTCTTTGTTGCATTATTTTTGCTGTAAGCCGCCCAGAGTCCCTTGGGAGTTGGGCGGCATAGAAATTCGATAAATTAAATTAAATTAAATTAATGACATCCAAGTGGGTGGGCCGGAGCTTCACTCCGTCATCACTACAAGATCGCTGAAAAACCCCCCTCCCCCACTTACCCAATCCGGTCCAAACCGAAAGCATTTCACTCCTGATCTTGCGTTTTCCAAAGAGAACGGAAGCTTTGTAACATCTAAGGTAAATAATTTCCTGATTTACATTGAGTTCTGGAAATCTTTTAAGAGTAAATGATCAAAGTAATGGGGTGATGGGGTGGGGAGGAGAAGGCCCAAGCAGGTGTAGGGACCCCAAGGGGTCAGAAGAGAAGCGTGGGGAGAGGCCTTTGGCGGCTGGAGGTAGTGGTCTTGTCTCTGTACTACGCCTCTCCACTCCTAAGTTACCCCATGTACTCTTAACGACCCATGCATTTGATTAACAAATGGATTCGGGAGAGGAGGGATGACTTAGGGTTAATGTGATTCAGTTAATGTTACGACTACAATGGACAAGCTCTGTTACATTCATAACTCAATGAGAATTCTACCCTTTTGATATAAAGTGGATGACAGAATGTTGATTTTTTTTTTTTGCTCCTCTACCAAAAGGTTGCCCAATTTATTGATGGCATTTAAAAAATTTTTTGCATGACAAATTATTTTCTGCTGTATGCTTTTTAAGAGGCTGTGTCCTACGTATAAAAAGAGATTCTTTGAAATTAGTAACAATTTGCCAGCTTCTGTAAGCATCTTGGCCTTCCTTCTTGTGACAGTCCCATTTCCAATTCCAGATTATACAACTCCAGGATTGCTGAATATGGATGTAGCGAATCAACTGTTGGGTCCTCCTCTCAATGGATCTGCATCTGAACAGGAAAAAGAACCAGGTATTAATAACAATATCAAGATCTGGAAGCCACTCACCCAAACGAGGGATTGAAACATCCAAGCCATGACCACCAGAGTATACGGAGCAATCCAAAACATATACCCTGTCCCTAATTGGACTTTCAGGATAAGCATCAGAATAGAGCTGGAAGGGACCTTAGAGGTCTTCTAGTCCAATCCCCAGGCCTATGTCATTACACATAGGTGGCTGGCCAGTCTTTCCTTAAAAAGTGATGAAACACCCACAACTTCTGAAGGCAAAGCTGTTCCACTGGTTAATTGTCTTCACTATTAGGAAGTTTCTCCTTAATTCCAGGTTGCTTCTCTCTTTGTTCAGTTTCCATCCGTTGTTTCTTGTCTTGTCTTCTGGTGCTTTGGAAAATAACATGACTTCCTCTTTTTTGTGGCAGCCCCTCAAATACTGGAATACTGCTATCATGTCACCCCTAGTCCTTCTTTTCGCTAGACTGGCCATACCCAATTCCTGCAACTATTCTTCTGCATAGGTTTTGTCTCCAGGCCCTTAATCATCTTAGTTGCTCTTCTTTGCACTTTTTCCAAGGTCTCAACATTTTTTTTCTAATGTGGTGACCAAAATTGGATGCAGTATTCCAGGTGTGAATCTTACTAAGGATTTAGAAAGTGGTACTAATACTTCATGTGATTTTGATTCTCTGCCTCTGTTTATACAGGTTAGTGTTATCTCCAAATTTGATGAGTTCCACTTCTATTCCCCCATCTAAATCATTTAGGAAGATATTGAAGAGTACTGGGCCTTAGATGGAACCTTGTGGTACCCCACTGCTTACTTCCCTCCATGTAGATGTAGTACCATTAAGGACTATGTTGAGTACTGTTATGTAAATAGGTTTTGGCGGGAAGTTTGAATAAACTAGCTGATTGACTGACCACCACAGCTGCAAGGTATATAAGGGGAGCTGTTTCCCCAGGTCAGTTGCTGGATTCACACCCTGATAAAAAGAGCTGTTGTCACTCACTGCCTGGCTTGCTGCGTCCACATTCACCCAACTTAACATTGGCGATGAAGGTGGGATTTTGAGGCCAGAAGCCATGGAAAGAGCTGAAGCCATGAGCCGAAAGAGAAGCTGAAACCCCGAATCCAGCCAGGCGAGCGAACGGAGTACCTGGAGAATCAACCAACGATGTCTGCCTACATACCACCAGTGCCTTTCAACCCAGCGGAAGAAAAGTGGGGATCCTACATTTATGTTTTTATTTTTATTTTATTTCGAATTTATATACAGCACCTTCTCCCGAGGGACTCAGGGCGGTGTACAGCCAGATAAAAACATACAATACAAACATTAAAAACAATTAAAAGGATATATATTAATTTGTCTCCAATTTAAGATAACAAACCAATTAAAAATATTTAAAAAATATGTTAAAAAATATGTTAAGCCAGCCCGGCTTGCTGAAAAAAGAAAGTTTTAAGGGCACGGTGGAAGGCACCGAGGTCTTGGATTCTCCTTATTTATTTATTTATTTATTTATCAAATTTCTATACCGCCCTACTCCCGAAGGACTCAGGGCGGTGAACAGCCAAGATAAAATACAGATAATACAAATATTAAAAATCCCTTAAAATTATTAAATATTTTGGCCGAAACACAAATTAAAACACCCAATTTATAAAATCATGAATTAAAAAATTTAAAAGAGGAGAGTTAGGCCAGGCCAGCCTGCTGAAATAGAAAAGTTTTGAGAGCACAGCGAAACGTGCGCAGGTCCGGATCCTCCGTATCTCTGGGGGGAGCTCGTTCCAGATGGTAGGTGCCCCCACAGAGAAGGCTCTCCCCCTGGGGGCTGCCAGTCGACACTGTTTGGCCGACGGCACCCTGAGGAGCCCCTCTCTATGGGAGCGTACTGGTCGGTGAGAGGCTATTGGTAGCAGAAGGCGGTCTCGTAAATACCCCGATCCGATGCCATGGAGTGCTCTAAAGGTGGTAACCAAAACCTTGAAGCACACCCGGAAGACCAATGGGAGCCAGTGCAGCTCGCGCAGGAGGGGGGTCACATGGGAGCGCCACGTCGCTCCCATAACCACCCGCGCGGCCGCATTCTGGACCAGCTGGAGCCTCCGGGTGCTCCTCAAGAGGAGCCCCATGTAGAGAGCATTGCAGTAGTCTAAGCGGGAAGTAACGAGAGCATGAGTGACCGTATTTAACGAGTCCCAATCCAGAAAGGGACGCAACTGGTGAATCAGGCGGACCTGATAAAAAGTCCCCCTGGCCACGGCCATCATGTGCTCTTCTAAAGACAGCCGTGAGTCCAGGAGGACACCCAAGTTGCGAACCCTCTCCGTGGGGGCCAATGACTCGCCCCCAATAGTCAGTGATGGCATCAACTGACTATATCGGGATGTCGGAAACCACAGCCACTCGGTCTTGGATGGGTTGAGCCTGAGTCTGTTTCTCCCCATCCAGATTCACACGGCCTCCAGGCACTGGGACATCACTTCAAGGGCATCATTGGGGTGGTCCGGGGTGGAGATGTACAGCTCTCTGGGGGCAGCTGATTATCTCTGGGGGCAGCTGATTCCAGAGGGTAGGTGCCCCCACAGAGAAGGCCCTCCCCCTGGGGGTCACCAGCCTACATTGTTTGGCTGATGGCACCCCAAGGAGGCCCTCTCTGTGGGAGTGCACAGGTCGGTGCGAGGTCATCGGTAGCAGCAGGCGGTCTCGAAGATAACTAGGTCCTATGCCATGGAGCGCTTTAAAGGTGGTAACCAACACCTTGAAGCGCACTCGGAAGACCACTGAGAGCCAGTGCAGCTCACGCAGGAGCGGTGTTACGTGGGAGCGCCAGGCGGCTCCCATGATTACCCTCGTGGCCGCATTCTGGACCAGTTGGAGCCTCCGGGTGCTCCTCAAGGGGAGCCCCATGTAGAGAGCGTTGCAGTAGTCCAGGCGCGAGGTGACGAGGGCATGGGTGACTGTGCACAGGGAATCCCGATCAAGAAAGGGCCGCAACTGGCGGATCAGGCGAACGTGACAGAAGGTCCCCCTGACTACAGCCATCAGATGTTCCTCCAAGGACAGCTGCGTATCCAGGAGGACTCCCAGATTGCGTGCCCTCTCCACGGGGGCCAAAGACTCGCCCCTGATAGTCAGTGATGGAGTCAACTGACTATATCGGGATGCCGGGAATCACAGCCACTCAGTCTTGGAAGGGTTGAGTTTGAGCCTGTTCCTCCCCATCCAGATCCGCACAGCCTCCAGGCACTGGGACATCACTTCAAGGGCATCGTTGGGGTGGCCTGGGGTGGAGATGTACAGCTGGGTGTCATCAGCGTACTGATGGTACTTCACCCCAAAGCCACGGATTATCTTACCCAGCGGCTTCACATAAATGTTGAACAGAAGGGGCGAGAGGACCGACCCCTGAGGCACTCCACAAATGAGAGGCCTTGAGGTCGACCTCTGCCTCCCTGCCAACACGAACTGCGACCGGTCTGAGAGAAAGGAGGAGAACCACCGTAATACAGTGCCCCCCATCCCCAACTCCTCCAACCGGTGCAACATGATACCATGGTCGATGGTATCAAAAGCCGCTGAGAGATCTAACAGGGCTAGGACAGAGGAGCAACCCTTGTCCCGCGCCCTTCAGAGATCATCTACCAATGCAACCAATGCTGTTTCCGTGCTGTGCCCCGGCCTGAAACCCAACTGGAATGGATCTAGATAAGACGTTTCCTCCAGGAATTGTGGAAACTGTCACACGACCACACTCTCAACAACCTTCGCCACAAAGCGAAGGTTGGAGACAGGAAGGTAGTTGGCTAATACTGCCGGGTCCAGGGAAGGCTTCTTGAGGAGAGGTCTCACCACCGCCTCTTTCAAGGCAGTGGGGAAGTAACCCTCACTCAACGAAGCATTGATAATTCCCTGGAGCCAGCCTCATGTAACCTCCCGGGAAGCCAGTACTAACCAGGAGGGACACGGGTCCAGTAAACATGTGGCCGCACTAAGTCTCCCCAGAATCCTGTCCATGTCATCAGGAGTCACAGAGTCAAACTCTTCCCATATAATGTTCTCAGGTCTGTTCCTTGTCACCCTGCCCGAATCTACCCAGTCAGAGTCCATATCCCCCTGGATCTGAGCAATTTTGTCATACAGATATCGTCCGAAATCCTCAGCCCTGTCCTCCAGGGGGTCCTCCCATGCTCCTGGGTGGAGGAGGGAGCGGGTCACCCTGAACAGGGTGGCTGGACGATTCTCTGATGATGCAATAAGAGCGGAAAAGTAATTAAACTTTGCCGCTTTTATCGCCACTAGGTAGGTCTTAATATGCGACCTTACCAGTGTTTGATCAGATTCAGCGAGACTGGCCCTCCAACCGCTCTCTAGGCATCTTTTCTGGCGTTTCATCTCCCTCACTCCTCGGTGAACCAAGGAGCCGCAAGGGATTGGCACCGGGTCAGAGGCCACAAAGGCACAACTCGATCCAAGGCCCCACCAGCCGCCCAATCCCAGGCGGCCACCAGGTCCTCGGCCGAGTCATGCGCCAGATCCTCAGGAAGTGGCCCAAGCTCCATCTGGAACCTATCAGGATCCATCAGGCTCCTGGGGCGGACCCATCTTATTGGCTCCGCCTCCCTGCAGTGGGGTATGGCGGTTCGAAGGTCCAGGCGAAGGAGCGAGTGATCTGACCATGACAAGGGTTCCATGTCTATATCCCCTATAACAAGACCACTCAACCACTGGCCAGAGACAAAAATCAAGTCCAGAGTGTGACCCCCCCTGTGGGTGGGGCCATGAACTAACTGGGTCAGGTCCAACAGACGGCAAGTTGAAATCACCTATGACCATAAGCCTGGGAGTATCAACTGCCACCATGGCTATCACGTTGAGTAGTTCGGGCAGGGCTGTTGCCACGTGGCAGGGAGCCAGGTACATAAGCAACAGGCCCATCTGAATCCCATGACCCCATCTCACAAAGAGGGATTCACATCCGGCAATCTGAGGCACAGTGGTTT